TACGTAAAAGACTAATGAAAAAAAACCCATCTAATCCTTTTATTACTGCAGTATTATTATGTAAAACTGATGCAAGAGATGAAACATTAATTTACAGAAAATTTCCATAGTAGGCTTGACTTATGTCAAGCAGAAGATAAAAATACATATTTAGGGCTTTGGGATTTGATGTTTATAATTGGGGATCCTTACTGAACCATGTTGGGATTTTCAATTTGACATAAGTGAATCTGAAAAAGTTTCCTCATTAAGGAACTTTTGTTTTAAGCTCTTGTCCAGAGGGTAATATAAAGTGGTGCAGCACTATTGAAGATTAATTTGATTGAGGATCATTTTACAAGTGGCTATTGTAAAATACTATATTTCTTTATAGCATAAACCATCACAATTTACTTTCTAGTTTACTTAGCATATTTAGTAATAAAAATGAAAAGCTAATTAGTGAAAAATACCATGTCTCATGTACAAAGAATATTCTTGTCAGCAGAGACTTCAATATGCAGATTGATATTATAAATTTGATGATTTGAACCTTTATTTCATCAGCAAAGAACATCAGATTAATGTAATACCATAAATGCAGTAAAACCACAAAATTAAAGTTACTGCTCTAATCGCTATAAAAAAAAACATACAACGACATTAAAACATTTTTAGAATACAATAAATACTATTCTGTCACAAGTATTGAATATTTTATCTGACTGATTAACTTCACAGAGAACTTACTTTGTAACTTGAAGTAAAGAGTCTTCAAAAAAAAAAATCATTATATTAAGCCCAATTAAAAATCCAGCTCCACCTTTTTAGTAGAAGATATTGCAACAAAGGCAAGGCAGCAACTTTGTATATAAAACGTGTTCCCTGTCATTTTCACTTATTCTAGTCAGCTTCTGAAATTTCCAATGTGACTAATGAGAAATATAAATTTTGTCTGTTGTCATTTTAAACTCTGGTGTGGACAAGAAATGCTATGCCCGCATTTTGTTGACATGCATTGGCAGATAATTCTTTAGGTATTTCATGTCAAGTTTACTTATAACTGACACTTCTCTGCAAAACTTTTAAACGTATCCTTGAAGTGGGACCATGCCTGCACTGCAGGGGTTAATTGCTCATTTAGATCAAGCGGAAATAGAAAATAACCTAGTCTACTTAACCAATCCTCAAACCTTCTTCTCCACCATGCTGCTCAAACGCTCCCCACAGTATCTTCTACCCCATGCTCCAGTAGTCTATGGTCCTGATATCATCATGATCAGTGCAGGGCCCAATGCTTCCACTGCCAGAGCATGGGGGAGCACAATCTGCCAAGTGTGCAGAGGCTCAGAAGAGTTAATGTGCTTTTAAGCTCTCCTAGACTATACAAGTAGTTAATCCTTGCATTGCAGGCACAGTCTCACTGCAAGGGATTATTTTTAAGTTTGTCTGAGTTGGACTTCAAGTCAATTTAAGATACCAACACCCAATTTAGATATCTTTGATCCCGTGATAACTAGTGTGGGTGTGGTGATTATGTCACTCAACTAAATGCCCAGGCTTAATGGCTGTATAGCATCCTATTATAAGAAGCTTAGCCAAATCTTAGCCCCCTACACATCAGACAACTCTTTAACTAACTGCTGCAAGATGATTCTCCCAGCTCAGATATACTCACTGTGCACGTTACCAAGACCCATAACAGATTATGCATCATGGATAAACTTTTGCCCTATTTCATGTCTGAATCTGGATGTAAAGTTTTTTTTTAATATTCTTTTGATTAGATGGGACAAAGATATATACTACATTTAATAGGGAAAGAGCAAGCTGGATTTAGGCTGCAATTACAGACTGTGGATGTAATTTATTGAGTCCTTATTTTAATTTATTTATCCAAAACAAGTCATATCTCATGGCAGCTCTGCCTATGAGGGATTTAACCCTCACTTCTTACTATTTGTTAGCGCATTGATCAATGATTCATAGACATTTGTCCAATATGTTGACTTCAGATGCCCTCTCTTTCCTATTCACAAAGGCAAAAGGCTTTGATGATAGAATCATTTCCACTTGCCAATGATGCCAATCCTGATGTCCAGCTCCAAGAAATGACGGGCTAAGCCTCTTTGTGGACAATTTCATTTTAACTCTCTCCAATCTGACCATTATGCTGCCAAACCTCTTCAAAATCCAAAATTATTTTGCTACTATTTCTGGCCTTTGTGTTGAGGACTCACAGTTGAAATCCCTAAACATTTCTCTCATTAGTGATCAGATTCAGAATTTGTGAGATAACTTTCCTGTTTGATGAGAGGGCTCCCATCTCCCCCATCCTATTCTTATGAAACAATCTATGCAGCCAGCTATACCTTTGTTGTAGAGGATGTCTAATCTTGATTTTTGAAAGAAATATCTCCTCCAACATGGAGTGCTGTCTCCAGAGTAGATCACCTCTTCTAATAGTTGAACATCTGTTTCCAGGATAGAGAACACACATGTATCCTGACAGGATCACTAAGCTATGGCTAGGCCTTGCTTGTAACAAGATTTTGGAGATGTTGTTGAGCATCCCTGCATCCCAACAGTGCACACCGGCAATTGGCAGTGTTTTGCTCTAATTCGCATGTGCAGTGGTGTCATTGACACACGCTAATGACGTCACCACGCCCGACGTCGATCCGCTGTGCACTGTGACGTCAATAAGTCACATGATAACGGCCATCTTGAAAGTATTTTCCAAATCAGCCCACTGTTTGAACTAATGTTAAAAGTCTGCCATAAGCATATGGACGCTAGGACTTCAATGGAGGAGACTGTTTGGATGTAGGGATGATCTTTCCTCCCTCACGATTTGTTGGTTGTTTTGACACCCATTTAAATGATGCTCTGGAGCCTTCTTGGATGCTCATTGGGACATCTAAGAATACTATCCGCTATGATAGGTATCCGAATGGACCCTGTTTGTCATTAGTGTTCTCTGCGCCTAAGATGACGCCTGTAGTATATTGAACTGTTCTGATGCTATTAAGCTGTCATGAATGTAGAGGGTATGGTGTTATATCCGTTCCCCCTGCTTGTTTCTGTTGCCCCCCCTCTTTGTAGGGTTTTGACTTATCACTAGTTTGGGTAGTAGGGGTGTAGTTTGGAATGTTGTGGGATATTCTTTATTATACGATGAAACTATGTAATTCTGTTTGATGATATTGCAGCTTTTCATTGTGGATTGATTGTTCCACATGACTGGCGGCTATCAATGCCTTTGGCTGAGGGTTCCTCTCCATCCATGTTTGAATCAGGTGCTCGGGTTGCTTTTCATTGGCCTCATGTGGAGTCATTAATATTACCAACCGGTAAATGCTGATAACAGGGGCGGACTGACAACTCATGGGGTGCCCAGGCAATAGGGGATCACGGGGCAACTGTTTCCTTGCCCAAACTCAAAAAAGCCTATGAAAAAGGTACCAAGGGGCATCTCATGGGGCCCCCTACTGACCCCAGGCCCTCAGGCAGTGCCCGAGTTTCCAAATGGTCAGTCCGCCCCTAGCTGATAATGTTTATGTTATATTTTTGACTATTACAATTTCTATGTATCTATAATATGCTTTGGTCCTACTTCTGCTTAATTTTAGAAACTTATACTTTGTCTCCCTGAAGAAGTGGGCCTTGCCCCATGAAACGTGTCCAACAATGAACAAAGTATCAATATGTACTAATTCTGCCAGAGTAGCCAACAAAGTATTAACTTGTACCAAGTTATGTTCAAACAACTTCAAGGATATTGATTTATACAACCATGTTAACCTGTTGTATGCGTTAGTAGGCTACGCTTTGGACTTTTGTTTGTCCATTGTGTTTGAGCATAATATGCTTTTTAAGTAATGTGTCTAATTGATATGTCCCACCATTATGGTGGCCCATTTTTAATAACAAAGGGTAATTATTGCATATTTTTGTAAGATTTTTTCTATGCATGGTAAAGTGCCTTTAAAACCCCACTAGTTTTTTTCTGGTTAGGGTAATATTTACTGTGTCTTACATTAAGGAGCATGGCACCAGTAAATCCTTCTATCAAGGATCTGAAGACCTTAGGACTCCATCTCCTACCTTATCCATATTCATTGCTTTAGAACATGTTACATGTTCCACCTATATTTAGGATGTAACATGTTCCAGCTTCTCCTTCTCTCCACCCCATCCTCCCTTCCTGTGACAACCAGGAGGCATCTTCTTCCCGAACCTGTTTTCACAATTTAAAAACAGCAAGGCCATGCAGTGTTCCACCCACATGGTCACATCACTCATTTACAGATTTCTGTGAATGAATAAACTACAATGACCTTCAGCCTGCACAGCCAATGGCTTGTAGTTCTCAATGAATTGTGAAGGCATTGGTGAGTGCTCTCGTAGTTCATTGATTCTTCCTGCTGATTGTGGATGCAATGCTTTACAGTGTAAAAAAGTGCACGTTTTTTTTATCTACAAAAAGATGAACTTATCCTTTGAAACCTTTTTAACCACTTGCCTACAGGGCACTTATACCCCCTTCCTGCCCAGGCCAGTTTTCAGCTTTCAGTGCGTCGCACTTTGAATGACAATTGTGTGGTCATGCAACTCTGTACCCATATGATATTTTTATCAGTTTTTTTAGACAGATAGAGCTTTCTTTTGGTGGTATTTAATAACCTCTGGGGTTTTTTTTTTTTTGCTAAACAAACCAAAAACAACAGAAAATTTTGAAAAAAAAAAAAAAAACTTTTCTTAGTTTTTTTATACAATTTTGAAAAATAAGTGATTTTTCTCCTTCACTGATGTGTGCTAATGAGGCTGCAGTGATGGGCACTTATAGGCGGCACTGATGAGGAGGCACTGGTAGGTGGCACTGATTGGCATTGACAGGCATCACTGATGGGCACTGAAAGGCAGCACTCATATATGGCACTGATAGGTGGCACTGATAGGTGGCACTGACTGGCACTGATAGGCAGTATTGACTGGCACTGTTAGGTGGCACTGACTGACACTGTTAGGCGACACTGATAGGCAGCTCTGACTGACACTGATAGGCGGCACTGACTGGCACTGATAGGCAGCACTGATTGGCAGCACTGATTGATAGGTGGCACTGACTTGCACTGATAGGTGGCACTGAAAGGCAGCTCAGATGGGCACTGATATGTGGCATTGGTGTGGCACTGATGGGCACTGACAGGTGGCAATGATGAGCACTGACAGGTGGCATTGATGGACACTGACAGGTGGCATTGATGGACACTGACAGGTGGCACTGATGGGGCTACACTGATCATCAGTGCCCTGATGATCAGTGTACATGTCCTCTCTGAGTAATGCCGATTACCGGCTCTCCTCTCCTCAGGAGCTCTCAGCATGACAGCTCGTGAGGAGAGAAATGCCAATAACTGGTATTTCCTTATTTACATGGACACAGCTGATCACATGACAGAGCCAACGTCTTCGGCTCTTTCCGTTGATCGGTGATCTACTGTGTCCCAGGGACACAGCGCCCCACTGATCGCCATGCTGCGCACCTCCCGGGGCAGCGCACACGTGGTTTGGAGCGGGTGGACGTCATGTGACATCCTCCCAGAATGAGAGAACCGCCTTGCGCCCATCATTTCCTTATATGTCAGGCAGGAGGCGGTTTAAACATGAAAATATTTCCCAGACTCAGTCACTGGAAAACCAGGTGCAGACTCTAAAGAAGCCCATCTCCTCTTTTTCCCACCTTTATAATCCAAGTACAAAGTGGCACACTGATGATGGTACATATAATGAAGTTTATTCAGCCAGCACTAACACAGAGTGTTTCTACAAGCATACTGCCCCCTTCCAATGCATTTACTCTTAATAAGCTTAAGCCAGGCCATGGCTGTGGAAAAGAGGTCCCCTTGGGCAAGGTATCCCCACATGTTGAGGGTATGTGGCCTTGTACAGTTCAGGACAGGGGCCACACACTCACCCCTCTCTTTTCTAGCCAGCATTGCTGCATCAAGGATCAGGATATGGTGTAAATATTGTGAAGAAAGTTGCACTTTTTTAGTTGTTTTTTTTTTTGCATGAAATTCCCCATTAAAATCTATACCAAACTAGGGGAGAGAACCCATGCCCTTTTTTTTGCACAACCTTACCCCTTTATTTACGTTGCACTGTCAGCAGAGAATTCATGTCTGATAGCTGAATGGTGGAATGAATCATGGTTGTTAGGATACTAGCAGCTGCCAGCCTGAGGGGATGCTGTCACATTCAGCAACAGTAGTAGTACTGTTTATAAATATATCACTTTCTCCTGCAGAGGTTTAGCTCATCCAAACACAATTTTTTGTATGACCATTTGCTAAACCTCAAAACAAGCACATTTTAGTCTGAACCTAAGTTCTATGTCAGTCAAAGTTTCCATAAATTGCAATGATGCTGATCAAAAGTGATGGGTGAACATGCTTACGTTTGATTCACAGGCTGTTCTGTGAAGTAATTGAGAGACAAATCTTATAATTGAATTCTGGTCATTTTCAAGAGAATGTCAAACAAAGAGCATGAGGAGCTGACCATTTAGCAGGGAGCAGATATTTTTAATAAAGCCTAATGTGAAACATTAAAAATACACATTTCCTTTAAATAACATGCTTGAGGTATCCTAAATCTGCCTGTGAAGTGTCTCGCCTGTAAAATATACTAAAGCAGAAGTGACACTTAGAAAAAGATTTCACCATTTGCAGCCAAATGTTATTTCCAATTCCCAGCATGATTACTGTATGTTTGTAAACAAAGAAGATACTGTATGTATAGTCAATAATGTCTGCCATCAAAAATGGCAATGATGCACTGGAATGTCAAAGAAGGAATGATATAGAAATACATTCTGTTTTATTAACTTAATGTTTTAACGGTAAATATATATTATTTTGATCATATTTCAATTAAACTAATACATTATTTACACTATTTTACTATATTTATATGCATCTTTCTGTCAAGAACATGCTTTTATATTTCATTTGGCAGCATTAATAATGAAACCCTAGTTACATGTATATAATAATTTCTGACAAGCAAGGATTTAAAAAAGAAAATATTATGTACTCATACTAGCACAAGACATGGTGTACTTCATCAGACAAGTTTCATAGCACGTCATTACAGGCTTGTCTGAAGGATGTGTGGAGATGTGGATTCTGGTGACCCAGGACAAGAGTGGGTATTAGAATTGTTGCATGAAGATAACTCTTAACAGAAGAGATAATAACCTGAATGCACAAAATGGAAACATAACTGCTGGCTGACTTCAAGAAAGAACACAACAATTGAAAATTTACAGACATTGTAACCCAAAGCTTTCTCAACGTTAAAGGTATTATAAACCTTGTTACCTGCACCTTGAGTTTTTCACCTGCAAAGATGTGCATTGATCATATAGTTTCATGTCATTTGTTGTCACAACCTATAGTACAGTAAATCTTTAAATTCCTTTGTTGGCAGTGTTTGTTAGTGTAAAAACATGAGACATGTGGCATGGCATTGCACAGGTAATTGCATGATCTCTGTCTGTAGTCTAAGAACTGATACTTCCAGTGAAGAAACTATATATCACACAATCTCTGGGTCTCACAATCTATTGCTCTTCAGGAGGTTAGAGCTGAACAGTAATTTGATCTGACCAAGCAAGCAAAACATTCACAAACATACAGAGAGCACTCTATGCAGCTGGAAGATTTTTTTTATTACATGGTCACTCTCACATTTGTGATGTGAAACAGAGCAAAAGGCAAGCATCCATTGCATGCTTTGACTCAGAACTGGCGATTAGGGACAGGCTAGAAAACCATGGACATAGAGAAATTGATCAGTGATTACAATACAAACTGCTGCCACGTGAGCCCATTGTTACAAGGCAAGCAAACAGCACAGAGAAAACAACAAGACCAATACCTAGTTAAAACAGTGAAAACATTTAAAGGTGTACAATGCCTTTGAATTGCACCTTAAATAAATGCAAACTGAGTTACTAAAATAGAATTAAAGCTTTATTATGTTTATATCAAAAGTATTCTTTACTCTGCATCTTTTATTAAAATAATGCATAAAGGTCCTCATTTAGACATTTTCTCTTATAGGGTGAAATATTCTATCTTTTTTTTCCCATATGTACCCTTGCATTATCACCTCTTCACATAGACTTCCAATGGAGACTATATGTGCCAATTTCTGCACACACATTATGCAAGCATGACTCTCTGTCGTCCAAGTAATCCTCCCTGAGAAATGCCATACAGCCACCACTGGAGTACATGAATAAAATCAGCAGTGCTGAGATGCAGCAATTGATAAAAAGGTGAAAAACAGTATTTGAAAAATGATTTGCTGCCATTCGTGGCCTCGACTGTCAATCACCGGCCAGTGATCACTTGCCGGCACCCGGTGATTGCCGAGTATCTCTGTAATGCCAAATGCTGGGTGCAATAACTAAAAGCAAGTCATATACATGCACACAATCAACATGTAGTTATATACAGGTACCTTTAATCAGCATTTACACAATTACATATTCTACGCATGTGAAAGACCCTCTACCAAATGAATACCTGCCCTGGCACATCATAGCATTCACTCGGCACTTCAAGAAATAACATAATCCAACTGCAATATTCTTGCTCTGTCAAAATTTCCACTTTTATTATCAGACGACACACAGGAAGATATATCTTATAGTCATCAAAATATGCATAATAACACACACCAATAATAATGTGAGCATTACATCATTTGACAGTGTCACAGCATAGAATTAATACATTACCAAAGCTATGTTAGAAGCTGGAAGGAACAAATCCCATCAGAGCCATACTGCCCAGGGGGTCACGGAGGAAGCTGTAAGCGTGACCAATCGATGAGCCCATATAGCCTTCACAATAATCCCAGCGTCAAAGTTTCCTCTAGCAATTGGGGGGGGGGGGGGGGCTTTCTACCGGTCTTTCCTGGATTCCCAACTTTTAAACCATTTTTCTGGAAGCTGTCCTATAGTGCCCACTATAGGAGGAGCTAGCAAAAGGGTTCCACGAGGATAACAGAGTCATGTTCAACCACCATATTCATCCTACATTGTTATCTGAAAAGTCACATTTTTGCTTCTTATCTACCCTAAACTTCTTCTCATCTACCCCAAACTTAAGGATTTCTAACTTCTCAAGCAAGTAGATGTCTATAAATAGGTTTTTATCTTCTACTGTGACATTACTAGATGTCATAATCACGTTTCATTCCATAAACAAGTTTTTATCTTGCTCTCAGCAGAATACCTTGTGACTCTGTTCCTTTGGCTTAGATAAATTACATCAGTCACCTCTCATGCTCCTGGCATTTTGGGCAACAATGCTTTATTGTAAAAATTACCCAAGAAACAAAAGGCCAACACATTTCATAGGCATTATAATATCTGATGGGGGGAGAACTGTTTGTAAACAAAACAGTTTTCTCCCCTGTCAACTCCCGCACATTGCTTTGCATGGCTGTGCATAGCACAGCCATGAAAAACAGTGTACTTACAGTGAAGCACAAACACAGACCAGTATATAAAACAGCACACAGCACACAGTTAACCCTTTGATCGCTCCACATGTTAACCGCTTCCTGCCCAGTGCCATTAGTAGTGTCAATGCTTTTTATTAGTACTGATCACTGTTTTATGCCACTGGGGATGTCAGTGACACCAAGTCAGTTCCCCCCAGTGTCAGAATGCCCGCTGCAGTCCCACAGTCCTGCTATAAGTTGATGATCACCACCATTACTAGTAAAAAAAAAATTCCAGTATCTATACCACCATTTGTAAATGCTATAATTTGTATGTAAACCAATTAATTTACATGTATTGGTTTTTTTTTTAGCAAAGACATGTAGCAGAATACATTTTGGTCTACATTTATGACAAAATTTGATTTTTAAATTTTTTTACTGGACATGTTTAAAAGCAAAAAGTCAAAAATATTGTTTTTATCTCAAAATAGTTGGTCTTTTTTTTTTCTCGTAGCGCAAAAAATAAAAATGCACAGGCGATCAAATACCACCAAAATAAATCTCTATTTGTGGGAAAAAAAGGACATAAATTTCATTTGGGTGCAGCGTTGCATAACTGCGCAATTGTCAGTAAAAGTAACGCAGTTCCGTAATGCAAAAAATGGCCTGGTCAGGAAGGGGGGGGAAATCCTCAGGAGGTGACTAAGTAGCAGAGGGGGTTGTTAATCAGTTTCAGATGACTTGGTGTTAATGAAATTAACAACAGATGCACTAGATGGGCAACAATGAGATGACCCCCGAAATAGGAATGGTTTTACAGGTGGAGGCCACTGACTTTTTTCCCTACTCATCATTTCTGACTGTTTTTCACTAGTTTTGCATTTGGCTAGGGTCAGTGTCACTACTGCTAGCATGAGGCAATACCTGGACCCTACAGAGGTTGCACAGGCAGTCCAACTCCTCCAGGATA